GTGTCAAAGACATGACTGAGGTCCAGGACAATATCCACAGCATTTCCCTCATCCACTAGGCTGGTCATCTGTCATGGAAAGAGATCAGGTTGGTCAAGCAGATCCTGCCTTGCATAAACCCATGGTGGGTTTGAATCCCTGCACGTGCTGTGTGATGGCATTCAGGATGAGCTGTTCTGTGACCTCCTCCAGCACTGAGGTCACCCTGACATGTCTGTAGTTCCCTGCATTCTCTTCCCTGCTACTCTTGGAGATGTTCTTATGGATATGTGTCACATTGGCCACCCCCTGGTTGTCTGACACCTCCCTGCTTTGCCAGGACTGCTGGTAAATCATGGACAGTGGTTTGGAGAGCTCTTCCATGAGCTCCCTCAGTAGGATTCCATCCAACCTCATACATCTGCACATGTGGCAGTGGAGAAGCAGGTCACTGTTTCCTGCTGGACTGGGAGAACTTCATTCTGCTCCTTGTCTCTGTCTTCCWGCTCAGRGAGCTGAAACCCTGAGAATAACTGGTCTGACTATTCATGATTTAGCCTTCTTAGCTAAGGCATAAGTACCTCAGTCCCTTTTCTTTATTTTTTATGACAATTCCCAACATCCAGGGAACGTTTTGGCTTTCCCCAGCACCCAGCAAATGATGGAGATTCTCCTTAGCCCTCTTTCTGGTGCTGATGTATTCCTAAGAACACTTTTTGTCATCTCTTTTGGCAGTGGCCAGATTGAAGTTCTAATAGGGCTTTTGCCTTTCTAACTTTTTCTCTTCATAACCTCACAATACCTATGTAATCCTCCTGAGTTGCCTGCAYATAAACTCTATTTTTACTCTRAGTTCCAGCCAAAACTCTCTGTYCAGCCAGTCCAGTCTCCTTCCCCACTCTCATCTTTTGGCAATGRGGACACCCTGCTCTTGCAAATTTAGGATTTGCTTCCTGAAGCRTGCCCAGCCTCCCTGGATTTGTCTGCCTTTCAGGATTGCCTCCCAAGGGACTCTCTCGACCAGTCTCCCCAGGAGGCCAAAATCTGCCCTCCAGAAGTGCAAAGCAGTGGTTTTGCTGTTGCCCTTCCTTACTTCTCCAAGAATTAAAAACTCTCTCATCTCATGATCACTGCGGGAACACTGCACAGCCAGTCTTTGCCAGGCTGGGTGACACGGTGCCCCTCTGCACAGGACACCCATGCTGATGGCAGGATGCTCTCCTGAGTTTGGGCAGAGGAGCAGTGCCAGTGTCAGCCTGTTCAGGGTGTCCTGGGCAGGGCTGGCAGCACCTCAGCACTCCTCAGCACCCACATGTTTGGCAGGAACGCACAGAATTCATTCACTTCTCAGCACATGCACATGAGCTGCCACTCCCATGACATTCCTTCCTAGCAGGAAGGTCACAGAAAGCATGCAAGGAGCATCCAGATCATTTCCAGAGARCCAGAAATTATCATCCTATTCAGCTTCCTCATGATCTTTTACTCTGCTCTTCTGCTGAGCAGCTTCCACAGGGTTTCTATCCCCAGGAACTGACAGCCATACTTTGAGCTCCAGAGCTGCTAACTCTGGCAAATGAGGGAAACTTTATTGCCAACACCCTTCCAGCTGGCTGGGACAGGGGCCTCCTAGAATGTTCCTAATTTGCAACTTTTGGGACATCATATTCCCCTCACAGAGCAAAACAAATCCACTTCTGTCCACTTTTACGCTCTCTCCTCTGTCCCCCATTTGTTATTTACAGACTGAGCCTTCAGTAAAATSAAGCAGGCAAACAGCTCCTTAATCCTCAGGTGAAAAAATACAACATTCCTAATATCTAACAGCACCCYAAACCCAAAACATTCCTCAGTTTTGGGCAGCAGCTGTAAAACAAGGAGACTGAACAAATAACATTCCTCAGCTCACTAATGATGACCAGAGACAAGGCACAGGTGTAAGTAAATAATTATGTAACCCCAAGAGCATCCCAAAGTCTGCAGATATTCTTCACAACTTCACTGAAATCATAGGAATTGCTTCTCTGCATAGCATAAAAAAATAAAAAATAAAATAAAATCCCAGAGAATTGTTTCATGAAAGGGTGACACTTATGCTGGAAGCATAGCAGGATTTCCTCWACATAAGAAGATTTTCCTTAGAGAACTATACCAAAGCCTCTGCAAGGGGAGAAAGGACCAGGGAGAGCTCTCCCTCCAGCTCTCAGCACAGGGCAGAAATTTCACCTTGCAGAAAATAAAGAGCAACTAACAATTTCTTTTCATTTTCCTRAAGCTACTGAGAACAAAAGAACACCAAAATTAGGATCACTACTTTTCTGGAATCTAACAGAAACTCTGTACCGTCCACATTTCAGATTCCATATTTGCCCTGTRTTCTGGGAGCATTAGCACTGCTTGAAGCCAGATTCACATTTTTTAGTGCCTGTTTGTTCACTGATACCYAGGTGCTGTGGTTTCATCTCCAATACACACTGCAAGACTTCTGATCACCCATAAATAATCAGCCCAACATGGAAAATGAAGCTCAGTGTCTGGAGGCATTTCAAAGACTCATTACATTTCACAGCCCTCWGCTGYCCCATCTTAAACATGAGGAAACAARAATGGCAAATAYACAAAGGTACTRCAARTCCCTCCCTATGGTCTCCASTGCATRGGTAAAAGGGAATTTCTCATCTCTGAGTGCTGCTCCTTCAAACATTCCTGCCAGCATGGAAGGAACAGTGATACTGCTCCCAAGTAATCCAGCTGTTGAACCCAGAGAACTGTAGATCATTCATTTCTCTTTCTGTTCTGTGGTAAATCATCTGTCCTCTGACAAAGCTGTTACCCAAAACTGCAGCCCTCCCCGAAGTGTGTGTCCCCAAATCTGTGACTGCCCAATAAAGCCCTGCAATGGAAGAAGGCCCAGTGGAGCTGGGGAGGGCAATGTGCCACCCATGAAAGTCAGGGAGTAATGCAGGCTGTGACTGACCACAGTCATTATTTTGTAAATAATCTGACTTTATCTCAACACAAAGGGGACCACAGGGTGTGTGTGATAAATAGCTGTGTCAGTTGAGGGGATCATGTGGTGTTCAATAAAAGAAAGTGAATGYCCCCCTGAGTTAGCCAGAGCAGCATGGGGGGAGTGAACACATGGCTCTGCCCAACCCTGAGTAYAAAACCCTATCAGTGACAGAAGAATTTTGAAGAAAACAACTGGCAGAGCTGACTTCAACCCTCACCTCCCTCCCCAGGACTGAGGATGCCCAGTGTGGTGACATGGAGCATGTTGTACAGACCCAGAGTGCTGAATGCACTGGTGTCCTCAGGGAACTGGGACTGCAGTTGCTACATTTTGGAAAGAGTAACTTAGACCTGTATCAAGTTACCAGTATATTTGTATCACTCTGCTAAATCAGAACCCTCGTGGAACATGGAATATCTTCAAAAAAGTAAACTGCATGTTAAATGTTACCCCCTCCAGCTGTGAACTAAAGAACCCTGTCAGAGTGCTGGGCTGCCTGGTCTCAGGTGCCAGTGCAGATCCTGTCCTCGGTGGCACAGCCAAGGAGAGATCTGGGAGCCCCAAACACCGGGCACAGCGAGTGTGCAGCACTACTGGCTAATGCCTTCAGTCCCACCACTTCCTATTTTTGCTTCCTCAAAGAGCACCTAAGTGTAATCACCAAAGGGAGAAGAGCTGATCTCACAGCCAGAAGGGTGAAGAGGGTGGGAGCATAAGATGGGAGAGATAGGAGTTTTCCCAAGCCATGTTCCTGTTTTGCTCCTCAGCATGCATTTTACACTTCCTTTAAAAAGTCCTGCTGCACTAGAGGGCATGAAAGGATCTGCAGAGGTGCTGCTCACACAGTGCTCCAGGACAGGACCACTGCCTGTAACCAAGCACTGGCACTGGGCTCACTCTGCTCTGCCTCGTGCCAAGCTCTCCTTGTCCCACCAGCAGCACCTGCATCACAGCCCTGACTCCAGAAAACACCTCCTGCCAGCAGGGAACACACAATTTAAAAAYACCTTTGTCCTGCATGTAGAATTCTTTCCTGCATGCGAGCATGTGGTTTGCCCTATGCAGTCCTTCACTGAAGAATGAATTCTTTGGGTGCTAAAGGTAAATTCATTTTTGGTACTAAAGGTAAAACCTTTCCCTTCCAATATGCCAGCTCTCATTTCAAAYAGGCGAGCTCAGTGCTGGCATAGCAGAGCTGGGCTTTGAACTTCACACAGACATGAGGTGAAGGTAGCCAGTGCCATGCCTGGCCATGGACAAAAAGAAGACAGAGAAATTGTTTGTCTCAGCCTTAGCAGGGCACTGGCTACACAGAATGCTGAGTAAACACTTACTGCCAGTCAAGGGAATTCCCAATTTCAGCACAGACTTGTTCAGTTYAAACTCTGGCTCAGTCTCCCAGGCTCTACACTGGCTGCAGGAATGATCTCTTTGTAAACAAGAGTTAATCTAGAGACAAGGTGCAACTCACCTGGTTAGCAATCTGCTGAACCTCTGGAGTGGCTGGCTTGGTGTCAGATAAGCCTCCAGTCATCATGCTGGTGGGTGATTTCTCTCAAATGACSTGTGGTTCTGAAGACAGGAGTTCAGAGCAGTGTGAGCAGAGTCCCCAGGTGTCTCACTTATATCCACACATATGTGTCATGGAATCATGTGATCTGTAACACATGGAGCCTACCATTACTGAACTGGAGGAGACAAATAGGAGAAAGATGGGGGAAAAGACTGGGGAAAAGCAATGTAAAGCACTGGCAATATTAATGGTAAATGTAAAAAGCACTTCAAGAAGTGTTTACGGTCCTCACATTAAAAATAAAATCAAATATCAGCCTCCAGTCACCCACATCTTAAGAGAGTTGGTTTTGGCTGAAGCAGGAACCTCTTGACTCTCCACCCATGTGCAGATGACTGTGCTGACCTTGGGAAACAGATCAGAGACACACCCAGTATTTCTCAACACCTTTCCTGATCAGAAGAAAAGATGCAATACTTTCCTTAAGGCAGGTCCCATTCAACTTGAAATTGCACTGTCTTAATATCCTTCTAAGTGGGGAAACCACAGCAGRCAGCATCTGACATTCAGTGACTTGACCAGAAAAGTTCCAAGTAAACACCCACACCAGAAGTAGAAAAAAATTCAATGCCAGGTTCAAGTAAGTACTGCAAATAAGGTATTTCTGCTTCTTTCCCATCAAACCAAGAGATGYATTAAGGCACTCATAATAGCAACTGAATAGGCAATAAAATTTACTTTTTACCTCTAGTGCCAATTAACTGCAGACAAAGTACAATCCCCCTCACTGGAGGAGCAGTGTGTACACAACAGCTGTCCTCATTTCAAGGTRTGTTGCTGAAACTCATAACTTATTTAATCAGAATATAATCAAGAAGTTTTCATTCTGCAGTTACAGCCACACGTGGCACACTCACATTCCTGAATGCAAATGTACAAAGCTCAAAGCCCACAGGGGAAAGGCTAACAAGTGCTATCAGCCCTCCCTGCTAAGGGAGAACTAACACTTGAAGACCACAGAAAAAAATCCTTCCTGTTGGTATCCCTGCCATCCCCTCACCAGCAAATGTGAGCAATGTTGTTCCAGAGTGAGGAGCAACAGAGCAGACCCTTGTGAGTCCCCAGGGATGAGTGTGGGAGCAGGGAAATGAGAATTTGTGCTGCACACAGGCAATGGGYATTTCTGCTGCCATCAGCACTTGGAATTTGCTAGAAACAGGTGGGTTTATGGCCACAGCAACAAACTGATCTGTGTCCTACCCAYACTACTGACCCTCCTCCTCACAGATAACAAGTGATGCAACAGACTGTAAAAAAGTGCTTCACATCTGACTTCAAGGCCTGRTTTTGGTACAAAGCCCCTGAGACTGAGAAACTGGGGCTGTAGGGGCCCTACACTCMACAGTASTGATGAGTATTACAGCATGKTACTGAAAAAGATATTGCAGAATTYCCCAAACTTGAGCAGCAGTGCTATGAAAGTRGATGAAAAGCACCGGAGGAAAAATCATTGTGCTGAGACAACATTTTTGTGAACAAAGAGAAAAATTATCTCAGTTCTCAGGAATAAATGGAGCAACAGCTGTTAAAAGTTTGGAATTCTGCCACTTTCACCAACTTSTCCTCTCCACATGAGGAGTTACTCMCAGCCTGAYTTGTGGAGCTGATGGCAACTCAAACCTTCTTTTGCATAAGACTCTGCTGATTCAGTCAAATGTGGATCAAGCAGTTCCACCTCTCATGCCTTAGTCACACAGCAGGACAGACAAAGTGAGGAACTGGAAGAGTCAGCTCACCATGCTCAATGCCAGAGGTCACAGAGTGTGTCCAACAACCACACAGGACCTGTGCTAAAACAGGCTATTTTATAAACCTGTCCACTCACCAGGATACAGATCCCAAAAACTTCCTTGGGAAGGGATGTTGAGATCCCCTGGTCAATGCTACACTCCTGGAGAACTCTTGATTCTGTCTGGGAACAAATAAATWGAGCACAAAACCCTAACCCTAATCCTTTCCATGGCAGTGCTAATGATGTCCCAAAATCCAGTGATATTTTTAAGACTGGGATGCAGTATTCATCCTGCACACGTATTTCACRAAGTCACTTTGAAGTGCTGACATTTCCCAGAACTGTGATCAAAGATAAGCTCATTCTGGGCAGCCCTCACCTCCACCCCTGTTCCACAGCAACTTTTGGGTGCAATSAGCCAGGATTTGGAGCTCTGCCATGCCAAGATCAGCCACCCCCACCCCATCTCTTGCACAACATTGATAAATTGGTGAGTGTCCCCCCTGCAGGGTTTGAGACATGGCTGGTGTCACATCCAGCCCACCCCACGCTCCCAATCAGCACAGATGGCAAATTCTCACGTCACTGTGCTGCTGTTATCTTGGAGATCTCTGCTAAGACACCACCACTGGCATTTCTTACAGCTTTGAAGCTGAGAAACATCTTGCACCATGTCCCATTCCAACATAGAAGAAACAAGATCTTTACAGCTTGCAGGCCACTACTCCCTGGTCCTATTTCAGAAAWTTTAAGCTATGGTTGATGAAAACACCAGCACTGTAACAAAACAAAGAAAACAAAATAAACTATTAAAAAAACMCCACTAAAATCCAAASCCCAGGGCTAYGTATTTACAAGTAATTTTCAAACCAGGTRTGAAGTCAGCTCTGTAGAAATGATTGTGAAAGCAGAGTCAGTAAGGTCAGATTTCTGGTTTCACAGTGACATGTAATTGKGACTGGATATGACACATGGTCTGAATGTCTTTAAGAGCTTCAGAGGAAAGCAGCCCTTCATGTACCAKCTGAGGGTCTGTTTTCATCATCACAGGAACAACAAACCTGATACTTAATGTGCTGGTCTGCAAAAAGAGTTTCCCCTTGTGCTACCCACCCTTATTTCAGAAGATTTCTGACATTGTACATCAACAAGGATCAACAGAAATCTCTCCCTGAGCAGCACAAAGTTATCAGAACCCAGCCTGTGTGGAGCCTCTGGTACCATTCTGCTTCAAGACCACTGAATTCTGCCCTTAAAGATGTTCTATAAAGAAATTACCTCTTTCATCAGTTTTTCATGCCTACAGGCTGCAGAAAACAACAGCACTGAGTGCCAGCAAAAATAAACTTCTATTTCACAGAATGAAAGGTGCACAAGCTTGAGAGGACCTTCCAAGCAAATGGGATCTGCCCACCTCTGTGCACCAATTCCAAAAAATGGGAAAGCCCCACAGAGAGGGCAAAGCACCCACAGGACTCTGTGTAGGGCCATCAGCAGTGCTCAAGTGCCTTTACTTGCAGGAAAAAAAACAGGGAAAGGATGAAATCCTGCTATTTGTAGGGCCCAGTATTTGACACCCATATGACAGCAAAGTGCCAGTAATTTTGTAACCACCTCGATGGTAACTTTGAAGCAAGGCTCAATCCCAGACTAAACACATCCTGAAATCCTCCTGCACAGAGGATTTACCTGCCTGCATGAGTGTGGCACACAGCTCACACCCGTGACAAAAACCCCACTCCACGTGCAGCTCTGAGGCATTTTGGGAACAGCAGAGCCATGTTCTCCTGCCCCAAGGTGTGGCATGCAATTCCATTTACTCACCTTCCTGTGCCATCGAGTTCAACAGCAACGTTCAAACACCTCCACTCCACGTGATTTGCCATGGATTATGTAAGAGAGCCCCTGTGCTCAGAGCAAATTTAATAAAGAAACCCTCTGTRTGTGAGCAGCAAACACCCCAAAAAGGGATGTTTGGGATTTGGGAGGCTTCTTGTGGTGTCAGATTTCCATGCTCAGGTTTCTATGGGACTACTTGTTTGGCCTTGTATACAAAATGAAAATAATTCTGTCTAGGGCTGATTTTTGGGRTTGTGGGTTTTGGGGTTTTTGAACATAGTCTCCTCCTGACAAACAAAAAAAAAATCTCTGTATCACATCCATTTCACAGGTCATTTATCACAGCATCTGCTTAAGAGAAGAAGCTTTTCCACAAGAGCTGAGCAAACATCTGGATGGATAAAGGAAGACAATGATTAATTCTCATTACAGGCTCTAGTTTATACAGAAATAAAAGATTACATTTCAAAACTATTTATCCAAGTCTGTACACACTTGTAGAACTTTGTATCATACAACTGGCTTAAAAGGAAAATTTATCCTTGCAGTTGATCCAAGTCTTGGAAAGAGCAAGTATTTTAGGCACGTGTAGTAGAAGTACTACAATATTGAAGTAGCAACTTTGAAATCATAACTGCCTTTCTCAAACATTATTTAATTGACCACGTCCTGTGGAAATTACATTGGTGCCAATTCAGCCCAGAATTCTGAGCAGTATTTGATTTACACTTTGATGATAAACAATTGAAAGAATTTAGCAGCAGAAGAGCAAACATATTTGCTGCTTTCAGAGTTGCAGAAAAACAATGACAARGTTTCAAGAATGAGTGCTCGAACTCAAGTAAAATTCTGCATAGAGCAGTTGCAGTACCTTGCAAAAAAAAAAGGGAGAAAAATGAATTGTGAACATTAGGATTTACATCCTCAAAGACTTCAAGGATATTTCTGCCTCATTCTCAAAAGGTGAGATGAAATGATCCTCTTGCCTAAAAATCAGAGGCCTTCAAGCAGTTTGAGTCTCTGCTGCACARACAACTATAAAACAGATGCTGCTGCACAGATCTTTGCCAGCTCTCAGTAACACAGCTACACAGCTCCAGTTATTTCCCACTCTATACATGCAAGCTTTAGAAATGTGAGAGTATATCCAGTGATTTCATTGCTGTTGCTGAATTTCAAAATGTTTACAACACAGGGAGTGTGTTTTTAGGRCTCTGATGAAGTTCAATTATAGAAATATCACTAAGAAATAAAACCAGCTGGCAACCACATAGACCTGGTCACTTGAATGTCAGCCAATCTGAGATAAACACAAAATAAAAAGTAAAAGGTAAAATTTACAGGTGTTTATGCAGCAATTCAGCTTTCTCCTACTTATCTGTCWTTCAATGCCATGTTAATGCAGGGGTGCTGCATTAAAGCTTTCTAAACACAACACCATGGCCAGGATCAACAGGATCAGCTGTTTCCTCAGCTCAAACACAATTCACCTTCAGAACTAATCCTAAAGGTTCAGAAGGAGACACAGAAATGGGTCTCTGGACTGTCTTATTCCCAGCTGAGACACATCTTGGTCTTTAATCCAAAGTGGTTTTAATCAGCACCACATTCCCTGTATAAAGGAAAACTCCAGAATTTGGTGCCACAGACCAAAGGGCAGCAACAGAGGAGACCATCAGCATTACAGGAACAACAGCAAAACCTCTATCCACACACAGCTCTGTAACAGCCACTGCTCTTTGTGTTGAGCAGCTCAGAACAAGGCTGGGAGCTTCCTCATTTCAGAGATGCTGAACCTACTACACTTGATCAGTCTGCAATTTTTATTTCCTTTCAGACTTTAGCAGAATATTTCCATAAAAAAACACATTTGCTGATAGTTTAGCAGACACTAGCTTAGGGAGAGCCTTGTTCTCTCTGTTCAGGATGGGTTTTACTCTTTCTTCCCCTCTGGGATCACTGTAGAAGTTCAARAAAGATGCCAGTTTTGCATTCCATTTGAAAATTGGTTTAATACTATAAAATTCATTTGTTCACATATTTTGTACAAAAGATGAGTTGTTTTCTCTTAATTACAGGATAATCATTTCAAGCTTGAGAATTCACGTAAGTAGGTCCAAAACAGAACAAGACTGGGTTCTACTGGTTCTGGAGGGTCCCAATTCAGCTCACCCAAGGTCTCTTTCCAGTTTGGCTCTCATAGTTATGGACTACCTTGATGGAAAATACCCACATCATCATTGACTCTTCGGAGGTTTGTAGTGAATTCGGCACCGCTCATTAAATACCTGAGACACCAAAACAGAAGAGCAGAAGCAAATCAGCTCCATCCAGGAAACGAGCAGAACTTCACAGACAGTTCAGGCAACTCTTCATGCAGCACCCATCTCAAGCTGAGCAGCCCTGATGTACCAGTAAATGGCACTTTGAAACCAAGACCTTTGTTTCCATTCACTTTCTGTCCTGGCTTTAGTAAATCCAGAGTCTGCAGCCTGATGCTGGAAGATTGAACAGCACTAAATATTCTCCCTCAGATAATGCAGACTCCTAAACCTGGCAGCCTGTTATCACCAAAAAGGCTGATGTCTTTTTGTTTTTAAAMGGGAGGTAAATAATCAGTGAAGGCTCCTGAATGGTTGCATTCTGTTAAGTTCACTCTGGTGTTCAAATTTGTATTCCTGCCTTTCCTGAGCAGCACATTTTCCACTGCCATGACAGCCAAAAGAGGGGCAAGAGCTCCTGGAARGCACTGCTCTGCCTGCCTGTGCCACTCCCTGTAAAGGGCACACCACTCCTGCCTCACTCACCTCTGGCACCTTCTCTGGGTAAAATTTAGCTTCCAGAACTGGATACTGAGGATCGTGTTTATGTCTCTTGAACTGCTGCTGGCCTGCCCTAAGGAGGGCCAAGAAACGTGACTGTTTAAAGGAAGGCAGTCTGAATCCAAAGCAAAGCACACCAAGGCTGGGTGTGCTCTGCACAAGCCATTCAGTTATTCATCAGTTTTTATCCAAATTCTTCTGGCACAAGTCCTGAAAGCCACACAAGCACCACTGAACACCAAGCTGGGGCTCTGGCAGGGRTTGTTGTCCCACCAGCATTCCCACAAGAGCATGTTTTGCCAAGCTGTCCAGGGATTTGGCAGACCCAAAAGCCTGTCATCATCAGGATATGAGGTTTTGTGAACTCTCCCATGGGCTTTACATGCAAAGTGAATGGTCTTGTAATTTTGGAGAAATTTTCCAACACTTTATACAAACACACTATTTCCATCTCTATCTTCATAGAATCTTCTGTTTCTACAGCTGATCTTACTATGGCAGCAGTACTAAATATTTGCAAAAATCCTTTCTTTTTGCATTTAGAAAGGGAAAGGGGTTTTCTCTGCAGTGTTGGAAGCTCTGAACAGCTACACCAAAGCAGAAAAGGATGCCAGATGTGAAACACTGCARTGACACAATACAGGCACCTCAGAATTTAAGCTCAGTGTTAAAATCACCAGACAGAGTTTGGGGCCATCAATCCAGAGGTGATCTGCACCCTCTGCTGACACGGGACAGAACAGCAGGGCTGCCCTTTGCACAGGGAGTGTCAGCTCAGGCCTGGAGAAACTCCATCATGGAAAGGTTCAGCTTTTACAGCCACATCCTCCCCACATTGGCTCTGCTCAGAGCTGTGATCAGCACCAGACACAGACAAATGTGACACCCATCCCTCTGACATTGTTAGAGGCCCAGCAAAGCTTTTAAGAGAGGTCACGAGAGAAAAGTCTACAAAGTGTTCAGCAAGGGGAAGAAAGGAACACAGGGAATAATCCACAGTCCTTCTTTCCCCCTAAATCAGATGTTTTTCTTTCCTTTGCARTGAAACCGAAAAGCTTTGACTGCTGCATCCAGAACTGGGAAAATGAGTGACTTGAAACATTTCCCCCAGTATTTCTAGTTAACCTGCTTCATAAGGCACCAGTCCCCCCAGCTCCAGACTGCTGGGACAGAACATCACCACGATTAAAGGGAAACATCACCACGATTAAAGGGAAACATCACCACAATTAAAGTGAAACATCACCACTTTTACCTTCCAGCTTCTGTCGTTTACCACTTCTTCAACATTGAGCTCTGACTGCATCAATTTCAACTGCAGAAAGTAAAGATAAAGAGGTTATTGTCAAACAGATCTCACTGCAGCCTTTCATGTTTACTACCATTGCAATTTTCCAGCTCCCAACCCCTGCACACCTCCTMTGTGGTGCAAACCAAAGGGTTTTATTAATAGGCTCTATTCCTAAATACTGCCCATCTAGATTTACCAGCAATTAACTGATTAACACTTATGGTGCATGAATAACTGCACCTAATTCAAGCACTCAGTATGAGGAATGCCAGGGCTGGGGTTAGCTCTGCAGCCTTGAGTTGCCATTCTTGCATTACTGGAGTAATTTATGAAGCTGGGAGCAAAGCTGGGAATCCAGCAAGGATTCTGGATTTTAAATTAAGGTTTTGACCACACTTTCTCTGCTTCATTTGYCATCTACTCTGTGCACTGCAGTCTGATCAYGTGTGTTCRTGCTACTATTTTATGTCAGCACTGMRGGACAAATCAGCTTTACACAGATGCAAAAGCTCTGGCAAGAACTACCACAATACACAGCTCTTGAGCAGTCAGCCCATGAGAAAGGTAAGAATCCCTTTATTTTACACCTATTAGAAACCCCAAGGGGCAGTTGTGTTCAGGTAATTTGGTCCTGAAGCACTAGTAGGAGATGTAAGAAACATCTGCCATTTTTGCTCATATTTAGGATGGATTCTTGTTGGCATTTTTAACATAACAGACTAAGAGTCAGAGTTTATCCATTTTTAATCCATGGTTTCAATTAGAGGCCTGGTGAACAGGTGCAAGCCAAGACAGTAACCCCATTAAAAAAGTTATGGGTAAGATACCTAGTCATTGGATGGGCTTTCCCCAACTCCACAGGATTTCAAACTATTTGAAATAAAAATCCAGCATCCATAGTGACTGTCTATAAAATACACTCAGAGGAACTTTAGCAGTTCAAAGAAACCATTACTCCAAGTTTTCTCCTCAATGACCCAGAAGCAGTAATTTTGCATGAAGTTCTCCAATTTGTACAATAAGCAGGATGAGAGAAACACATATAACAAGGGAAAAGAGATCTGTATTGCAACCAAGTGAACAGGTATTTGAAACTCCCAGTCTTAAAACTAGGATGTATTCTGACAAGACAGCTTTTCCAACTTGTAGAAAAAACACAACTCCCATGGAGAGCCAGAAAAAAAAGGGAAATCACAAGTACAAATCTGAGGTGATCTCAAAAAAAAAAATTCTGAGATGTTTCTAAATTATTGCTGTTAACATCTGATGCCACCTCCAGTCATTAAACACTACCATTCTGATCCTCCTAGTGCTTTCAGTGAGATGTTTCAGGCTCAGCAACTAAATGATTTAAAAGATTGGTTCTGCAAACAAAATTTGTAGAAAATACTAAGCTACCATTCTAGTTTTCCAAATTAATGTGGATGCTTGTTAGCAGTTCAATAAGGGAGGCTTTAASAATAAAACTGCTCAACTGTCACGTGGTTCTCTCAGTATCTTTTTCCTTACAAAGGGGGCTCTGAAATTGTGGTGAGAACTTCAGTGGGGTTCCTTTCTCACTTCTGATCCTCCATCTCCATCACCTCTGGTACAGCACACTTTCCACCCAGAGGGTTAACAGGGCATTTGCACATTAGAATTTCTTATGCAAACCCAGAAGTCTCTCTCACATAATCACAAGGTATTCCAAACACTACTCCAAGAAATACCAAACAGCAAAAAAGTTATAAAGGAAAAGCAGAATTCAAAGGTTGCCTGGGAGCTTCTTGTAAAGAGCAAAAGGTAAATTATGCCTTGGTGGTGTCAGTCAGTGAAGGTTTGAATCCACCATGGGGAAGAACATGTGTTTTTGTATGGCATTTGTGTAAAAGAATCTCAGAAAATGCTTCCCTTGCAGGGTAAAAGCAGCTCTCTGCCTTGAGGTTTTGGGAAAATAACTCTCACAAGACCCAACAAGAGCCAATAAGAACCTTGGAAAAGACTGCTTGACTCAGGATCCACTTTGGATTCTTTCCATCTGGGAAAGATACCCTCTTCCTCCTCTCTAAGTTGTCTCTAAAAAGCTTCACCACTCACCTTTGTCTGCTCTTTCCTGAGTTGCTTTAATAATGCTATATCATCTTGAGACTTTTCCCTCTCTTCTTTGAGAGTTTTCACTACAGAGGAAGTTTGAGAGATGCAGTTTTTGATGATTCTTTCTCTGTTGGTATGAGCATCCATCAGCTAAATGGGGAGAGAAAGAAAGCCACAGTTACTCATCAGTAACTCTGAGTTGTAAGTTAAAAGAGACACTTTCTAAAGTGATGGTATTGCTGTGCCTATAGAAATCATAGTTCACATGTAGGAAACAACAATGCAGCAGCTACACCCAACTCAGACTATTCTGTGGTTCTTGCCCTTAGCAAGTTATCAAAAGTCAAAGGTAAACATGAGAAGGAGTCTTGCAGAGTAAAGTGGAAGTGAGGACCCTTTTTAAAAGATCCTCACAGGATCAGTGTTGCACAACAAGGAATTTCCCCACGTGGTTTTAAACCGAAGCAGTTTAAAATCTGAGCGAGACAAAGCAGGATCTACCAAGGCAATGTTTTGGATGCTTTACTGGCCACTGCACACCACAAAGCAGCAGGAAGGGAGCTGAAAGTGGAAGGTGTGCACACTCACAGACTGGTAGAGCTGTTTACACGTCTGGCCAGGATCAACCTTCCCCACAAAGGAAGCTGTTGGAATTGTAGTGTTTAATTCATGGACGATTCTGTCATCGATCGTCCTCATCACCCTGAGCAGCTCCTGTWTTAAAGAACAGAGAGAGATGCTTGGTTATATCTCTGAGAAGAGTCTACTGCAAAAAAAAATGCACAATTAAGCTTTTTGATAGAAAACTAAATAAGATTCCTTACAAAGAGGTAGAAACACACCAAAGGAACAATTCCCACGTGCAAGAAATGTGCTGTRGGTATTCTTTGGCAGCAAAGAATGGGCATTCTTAGGCAGCAAAGGCCAGAGAGAGGGTSAGTAACTGATGTCCCCTGAAGTCCCCATGCCCTGTGGACAGCACGGACAGAAGAGCCTCTGTCCAAATTCCTGTCCCTGCTTCCAAACAGGAAACCAGGCACAACCCGCACCAAAACGGCAAACTTTGAATAAAACCCTCCCACCATTTTGGGGGGCATGAACCTAA